CCTGTTAGACCTGCCTCAAATCCCTGTGCTTTCACCAGAAGCTTGTCAATTTGGGCAAATTACTTAACCTCATTTGCCACAGGGTGATTTCAGTAAGAAATGCTTTTCAGTGGTGACCCTGTGTCCACAGGTAGATGTCACTGAAAGTTTCATGGAACAACACTTAGCCTTCCTGCCTGCAGTACACTCTGACATTTTCTATTCCAGTGGTTCTCAAAGTGGGGTCCCTGGACCAGCAGCAGCAGTATCGCCTAAGAACTTGTTAGAAATGCAATTTTTTTGGCCCCATCCCAGACCAGCTGACTCAGAAACTCTGGGTGAACATCTAGCAATCTATGTTTTAATAAGCCTTCTAGGTAATTCAGATGCAGCTGAAGTTCGATAACCACTTTTTAAGTCCATTTAAAAATATGCTAGTTATCACCTACTAAATCGCTCTCATAAGCCACTCATGTAAGTCAAATCATGTGGACTTAACCGATGTCTGTCTGTCTGTTTCCTGCCAGCGTTCATCTCTTCTTCAACTTGCTAAAATTTCAATAGAGGAAATACCCTAGTCCATGGCTGCAGAGATAGGTAAAGACCCCTACCCACCTGAAGCAGTAGTTGGTTCAGGGATGAGCACATGATCCTTGTCTGACGAAATGCAATCCTGAGACCCTGGCTGGAAGTACTGGAAAGGACAATATCTTTCCCCAGGGGTTGCTGAGCTTGGAGCTGTTCATGCCACTGTTGCCACCACTCTGGAAGAGACTGCCTAAAGCTACAGGCATCTCAGAGGAGGGGAGCTGAGCTTTGGGCATCCTGCATCTCCTTATGCCTGGTCTCAGGCAGAGCTGCCAGGGTCCAGAGCTCAGGCAACCCTAGAGCAGAGGACCCTGCTCAGCTGGACCTTAGGTGCAGCTCTGATGTTCAGGGAAGTTGATACCCTGGGGGACACCTTCCAGTGCAGTGAGGAGCTGGTGGGTAAATGCCCCTGGCTCCACTTCTTCAGAAGGACAATGCTGAGAGGCAGCATGCTTCTAAGAAGTTCCAGAAGAGTCCAGTCCCTGTTGCTTATCTCAGCAAATTTGAAAACACTCCCTTTATCACTCTTTTCTTCTTCCCTGTCTCAATCTCCTCTCTCTCTCCCTCATTCCTGCTTCCTGCAATCCCTTCCTAAATAGACCATCTGCACCCAGGTCCTGGTCTCAGGCTCTGTTCTCATGGAAGACCAAGCTAGGACAGATTCCTGTTGACCTTCGAGCATTTGGATCCAGCCCTACCTGAAACAAACTCCACTTCTGGATGTTTCAGTTAAGAGAGCCAAAAAAATCCACCCCCACTCCTTTTTTTTTTTTTGCTATGTATACTAGTCACTATGCAACAAATTACCCCCCAGATTTAGTGGCTTTAAACAGCAATGCTCAGTGTCTCCGTTTCTGTGGGTAAGGAATCCAGGGGCGGCTTGGCCGGGTCCCTCGTGAAATCGCCATGAAGATGGCAGTCTAGGCTGCATCATCTCAAGGCCTGACCGAGGAAGGATCTGCTTCAGAGCTCACTTCTTGGCAGAATTCAGTTCCTGCTGGGCTGTCAGATAGAGGGTTTCAGGTCTTTGCTCTCTGTTGGCCAAAGGCCTGCCTCAGTTCCTTTCCACGCGGGCTTCTCGTGGGGCTGCTCACGACACGGCAGCTGGCTTCTACGAGAGCAAGCAAGGGAGAGAGCAAGAGAGGGCAGCTGAGCTTCTGTCACCTAATTTTTTAATGGCATCCTAACACTTTTGTTGTATTCTTTTTGTTAGGAGCAAGTCACTAGGTGCAGCGCACACTCAAGGGGAGGAGGGGCTTACACAAGGACACGAATACCGGAAGGTGGGAACATCAGGAGCCATTTGTGAAGCTGCCCTCATGGGCCACAAGTAGCATGAAACCCTTCCTGTTCTCTTCATTTAGGGATATTCTTTCTGTTTGATTCTCACCATGCTATTACGGTACTAGCTAACCTTTTTTAATGCTCTGTGTCCGTGCCTGGACTTAAGAGCATCACCTGCATGATGCCATTAAATCTCCTGCTCTGAGATCAGACCTGAAAGTATCCTCATTTTACAAGATGAGGGAACCGGCATGCAGAGAGGTTAAGGAATTCGTCTGAGGACACAGAACTATTACGTAACGTCACTGGAATTCATCAGAGAGTAATTCATCAGAGAATAAGTCTTTACCTGCCAGGCCATCAACACCTCTCAGCTCAGTGAACACAAAAGCATTCATGGAGGCTTGAACAATTCATTCACTCAGAGCCTTAATCTCCCTTCCCTTTCACATAGACCTTAAATTTCTGACCCTAACACTCTCCTGTTATTGAGTTTTCATTCCTGCCAGCGTTTATAAACCTCCTTTGGGTCATGGAGGCATTGGAGAATGTGTTGAAAGTTATGAACATTTTCCTCTTCCAAAAAATATATTATCCACTCAGATCCATGTTAGCTTTATGATTTTCAGTGGCAACTGAACTACCTGAAGGTACTCGGGGCTCCAGGATGGACTCTCATTGGCTCATCTGTGGTCACGTGCCCAGCTGGACCCAATCTCTGCAGCCTAGGGGATTTGATCCTTAGAACCATAGCATCTCATCCTCTCATTTTACCGACGGAGAAGCGGAAGCCTGGAGGGGAAGAGTGACTTGCTCACGGTCACACAGCACTGGTGGGCCCAGGGCAGAGTCATGCAGCATGGAAGGCATGGTCCCTCCCTCAGTCTGCAGGTTCCTCCTGACCGACTCACCGATGCGTTCCCAGCCACTTGTTCTGGGCCTGGCCGCACATTCAGCACTAGAGGAAAAGACCCCTGAAGGTTACGGAGAGCGAATCAATGGAAGCTGAGGATAAAGTAGTGCCGACCCAGTGAGACCCTGGGACACTGTCCTGCAGGATGTTATCGGATAGCCCATGAATAAAGAAAGGGCTCCGCGAGGAAGTAGGTTTGTGAAACACAAAGTGAATTGGTTTCTTTACGTTAGAACTTCTCAGAACTCTTAATAGGCTCAATGCAGTGAATCTCTCAAAAGGAGGATATAGCATGTGTGTTTCCCAAACGTGTTTGACCATACGATCCTTTTTATTAAGTTGGATTTTTGAAGGATTACTGTTTAGAGAAACATGTTTTGGGCAATGCCAGGGATCAAGGATCAGCATGGACAGGGTGGTCAGGGAAGCTTTCTCAGAGGAGGGGGTGCCCCAGCTACATTCAAGGACAGGAGGATTAGGATAATCAGGTGAGAGCAGGGAAGGTGTCCCAAAGGAATCACAGGAGAAAGCACTAAATATTATAGCACATATGAGTGGAAAGACTTATACAGGTCAAGACTCCTTTGGAGACAAGTGCCAGAAATGCAATTCAAACTGGCTTTGGCAAAAAGGGTAATCTATTGGTCCATGTGACTGCTTTCAGGCATGGCTGGATCTAGGTGCTTGAACCACGCCTTCAGGGTTAAGTATTGGCTTCATTCTCAGGCAGGCTCTCTTCTCAGAGGGGGTTGTCATCTCCAGGTTCATATGCTGGCAGCTAGCAACCTCAGCAGGGAGTGAGATGCTTTTTACAATAGTTTAAATCGAAGTCCCAGGATGGACTCTCATTGGCTCAGCTTGGGTCATTCTGGTACCATTCACTGCAGCCTAGGAGATCTAGAGCTCTGATTGACCAGATCCTTAGGGATCATTGTACCCCATCATCTCATAAACAGATGATGACACAGACCTGTGTAAACGGGTGAGGGCAGGGGCTGAGGGAGCTGAGAAGAGGGTCTCCAGATCTACTCTCAGGAGGACAGGGAAAACTCCAGAAGGGGGGGTGATACCTTAGCTGAGACTTGATGGTCAGATGTCCAGGTACATGTGTGATAGTTCATTCACTTACTTATTGAATTAATGAATATGCATATTTGCATCTTTAGGGATAAAGATGTCAGGGGTATGTGCAGTTGTGTGAGTAGATGTTAGAATGAGTCAATAGGCAGCTGTGTGTCACCATGCATGCCAAAATATGCTGTGTGCATAGAGATGCACATAAATAGGTACACACAAAATGCACATAAACACACAAAAGTATATGTATGTGAGTGCAAATGTGGATTTCCATTGTGTATAGAAGCATGTTGAGGGAGTACCAAGTAGTGGAACCGGATGCCTGTTTGAATCTTCGCTCTGTCACTGGTATGTCCTAGGCAGGTAAACCCGCTGGTCAATTTCTTCATAAATAAATGGGGCAAATAATAGTATCTCTCTGTCTAGGTTGAGTGCCTACGGCTGAAATCTAGTCTCAGAGATCCTGTGGGGAATTCTGGAGCATCAGCGACACCATGGAGTTCATCCCCCTTGAGGAAAGGAGGACAGCCCTTGCCAGCTGGTCACTGGCTGTGTCCCTCCACCCTTCTGCCTGAAGGAAGAAGTAATCTCGCAGGTATTTCCTGGTGAGGCCCCTTGGGTTTGTTGAGGGTCATATTCCAGAGAAGAGGGGAGCTGTGAGCCAGGAGCGCCCATGTCACAGCAGGGGATGGGTGCACCAACCGCCTTTACTCCACACTCACTCCTCAAAATAAAGTCCTGGGGCCAGTAGCATTGGTCTCCCCTGGGAGCCTGTTAGAAAAACAGTCACAGGCCCTACTCCAGACCTGCTGACTCAGAACTTGCATTTTAACAGGAACCCTAGGCCTAAGCACATTAAAGTTCCAGAAGCACTGTGTGAACCGACTGCACGGGGTTGTTGCAAAGATTTAATGGGGTTAAGATACAGAAAGCACTCAAAATGACAGCTGGTCCACAGTAGGTGCCCTTGTCGTTTTGCATGGCAGTGTGCAGGGCATGTTTGCTTATCCAGAGACTTGGTATGTGTAAACAAATGCGTGCAGGGAGGACCAGTTACATAATTTGCAGGATTCAGTGCAGAATGCAATGTGGGCCCCTTGTTAAAAAATTAGATGGCAGACAGAGCCTTAAACCAGGCAAGGGGCCCTTCTGAGCTTGGGGCCTGTGTGACTGCGCAGGAGGCAGGAGGAAGCAGCCAGTGCTGGCATACGGACGTGGATGTGGATGGGAGTTTTTGAGGCCCTGCTGGTCCCAGGATTTCTGTTCTATGGTGATTTGGGTATCCTTCTGGTTCTACAGAGGAGGAAAGCCTGGCTGAGGGTTCTGGGCTGGAAATCGGACTCCTGGCGCCCATCTCCCGTTCGCACCCCACTCCTGGAGCAGCGCGCATATGTGTGTGTGAGCCGGCCTTAGTGACTTTGTGGAATTGTTGAGAGCTCACAGCTAAGAAATGTTCCTCTCACATTTGCACATTGCAGAGACATTTGAGTATGTTCCCCCATGAATCGTGGGTATCCATTCCCAGGGAGCGCTCTCTGCTCAGGAGAAGGGGTGTGAAATTTAATTTGCACTAATTATTCTGAAGTGAGAGGAGTGGGAAAGAGCTGGCTTTGCACATTCAGCCTCTTCCAGCAGCTCCAGGTTGCAGGTTATTTATGTGCGGGGTGGGGGTGGGGTAGGGGTGCTGGTACCATGGCAGCAGCAGCTGCTGGGATTTTTGGGCAGATGGGCAGAAAGGGTGGGTGGGGGAGGGGAAGGAGTAGGGTAGAGCTGGAGCTGAGTCCCTGTGGTTGTGGGGGACCACGTGTAGAGCCCACTGTCTCTGATGGGGGAGAGAAGAGGAAAGGAGCTCCCTCCTAGCCCTGGTTTAGTTGGCGAGGCCTTTGGCGGAGAAGGTCAGCAGTTCATCCCAGGATACAGATGGGCTGTCCTGATCTGGAGGGGAGAAAACTGTGTTTCAAAGACTCCCTGGGACAGGGGTGTCCCGATGAGGCCCCAGGTCCTAGGCTGAGCTGGAGGGCAGAAACACCCGCAAAGGCAGGTGGCCGAGGGAGCACTGCAGCGGGAGGAGGGGCTCTGGAGCCAGGAAAAATGACCTGCATGTCCCCTCTTGCTCCTGTCCAACGCCTTCCTCAGCCCCAACTCCCCCGCATCTCAGCTCCTTCGCTCCCTTCCTCCTTCCCCTCTCCCCACGATGCTCTTTCCTTGCACCACTAGAGGGCGCAGAGGCGCCATGGTTGCTCATGATTTATCAGCCTAGGCCGGGCTGTGGGTGCTTGAGTCGGGTGGATGGGGCAGGGGGAGGAGGCCCCTCAACAACTGGGTCCTCAGTAGAGCTGGAAAGGTTCAAGCCTGTTTGGAGCCTGGGCGTGCCTGGGCTGCCTCCAAGGCCAGAGGATGTCACGATGACCTCCCTCCAGCAACCTCAAGGGAGGGATTTTTGTGGGGGGAGAGGGCATTCCCTTGGGACCTGGAAGGAAATAACCTGGGTTTCCTTTCCAGCGCAGTCACTTCCTCATGCATGGTGTCACGCCAGGCGAGTCACATCCCCTCTCCAGGCTACTGTTTCCTCTTCTGTGAATGGGGACAACCAATGCCGCCTCAGTTGCTAGGATTGGATAGAATAACATACAGAAGAGCTGCACTGTAGGCACTCAAATGGGAGCTTTCCTTTGCCTTTGTAGGTCAGTCAACAGATGTTTCTTGGGCATCTACTATATGCTAATGTCTCTGCAAGGCACTGGGAACAACCAGAAACAAGATGGACACAGGGCCTACCATGAAGCTTTCAGTCTGGTAGGGATAAATCATTATACATAAGTGAAAATGCCTTTTAAAATTACTATAAATTCTGAAGTCATTATAAATATGTGTCATGTGCTATGAAAAGTTAAGTTCTGGGTGCCATGGGAATGCAGACCAAGGAACCTGACCAGGTCTGACATTCAACTGAGCTCTAAAGGATGAATAGGTCAGTCACAAGGGAGGCAAGAGGGAAGGGCCTTTCAGGCAGAAGGAACAGCAGATGCAAAGGCCTGGAAGGAGGAGGAGCAGTATGTATTCCAATCATGAAAGGCTGTCAAGCGTGATGGAGGGGTGAGCGACATGGAATGGATGTGAGATGAGCTGGACAGTGGACAGAGGCCAGGTTACCTAGAAGATGTGGGCGCACGTGCAGCCCTGGAGCAGCAGGAGTACAAAGTAGGAGGCCCAGCAGCCTTTTTGTGACAGGGAAGAAATGGGAATTCCCAAAGTGATGACAAGTTTTCTAAACAAGAAAGTGCATCTCTTCTTCTTTCCCAACAGTCCTAGAGCAACTGAAAATAAAAGAGGCATCGAGAGAACATACTGGCAGTGACATCACGATGCTGGGTCTCATTGTGGGGGACCTAAGTGTTGGGGGAAGCTGAGCTGGCCTCCCAGCATCCAGTGGTGAGGACTGAGAGTTAGGGCCCTGCTCTCTAGATTGCAGCCTGAAGAGAGTCTTTTCACTATTGGCTGCTTCAATCTACCCATCTGTGAAATGGGGAAAGCTGGTTTTGCCTACCTTGCAGGGACCCTGTGAAAAGCTGCTCTGAACTCCTTGCCAGAAAAGTTGTTCTCTGGTGCCAAAGTCAAGTCTTGCCCCATTGATCCCAGCCCTGAGCAACCACTAACCTATTTTCTTTCTCTACATATTCACCTATTGTTGATATTTCATATATATGTGGATCATATAGTGTGCGGTTTTTTGTGACTGGCTTCTTTCACTTAGCATAGTGTTTTCAAGGTTCAGTCATGGTGTAGCACAATCAGTCCTTGATTCCTTTTGGTAACTGAATAACAGTCCATTGGATAAGATACACCACATTTTGTTTGTCCATTCATCAGTTGACAGACATTTGCACTGTTTCTGCCTTTTGGCTCTCATGAATAATGCTGCTATGACCATTCACTTACAAGTTTTTGTTTTTAGTTCTCTTGAGTTTATTATTCTTAGGAGTGTACTCACTGGGCCATAGGATAACTTTATATTTAAACTTTTAAGGAACTGCAAAACTTTTTCCATTATGGTTGCACCATTTTACATTCCTATTACCAATGTATGAAGTTTCCAATTTTTCTATATCCTTGTCAACACTTATTATTATCTGACTGCTTGATTATAGCCCTCCTAGTGGGTGTGAAATGGTATCACATCAAGATTCTGATTTGCATTTCTGTGATGGCTGATGATGTTGATTATATTTTCATGTGTTTTTGGATATTTATCTATCTTCTTTGGAGAAATGATTACTCAGATCATTTGCCCACTTAAAATTTGGATCATTTGACTATTTATTATTGAGTTGTAAGATTTCTTTATATGTTGAAGATGTAAGTCCCTTATTAGACATGATTTGAAACATTTTCCTTCCATTCTGTGGGTTTTCTTTTCACTTTTTTGATAGTGAACTTTGCAACACAAAACTTTTAATTTAGATGAAGTTTACATATTTTTTTCTTTTGTTGCTTGTGCTTTTAGTGAATCCATCACCAAATGCAAGGTCATGACAATTTATCCCTGTATTTTCTTCTAAGACTTTTATAGTTTTGGCTTTAAAATTTAGATCTTTGATCTATTTTGAGTTAATTTTTTGTGTATGGTATAAGGTAAGGGTCAAGCATCATTCTTTCGCATGTGGCTGTCCAGTTGTGTCAGCATCATTTGTTGATGAGACTTTTCTTTCCCCATTGAATGGTCTTGGCACCCTTGTCAGAAATCAGTTGATCACAGATGTATGGGTTTATTTCTGGACTCTTAATTCCATTCCATTGATCTATATGTCTAGCCTTATGCTGGTACCAGAATGTTTTGATCATTGTAGCTTTGTAGTAAGTTTTGAAGTTGGGATGTGATTCTTCTTTGTTCTTTTTCAAGCTTGTTTGGCTATTTGAGGTCTCTTGCAATTCCATATGAATTTTAGGATCAGCTTTTCCATTTCTACAAGAAATACCATTGGGATTTTGTTAGGCATTGCATTGTGTGTGTAGATCAGTTTGGGAATTATTGCCATTTCAACAATATTAAATTTTATGATCCATGAATGCAGGATGTCTTGTGTTTTATTTAGGTCTTCCCTAATTTTCTACAACATTTTGCAGTTTTCAAAGTGTAAGTTTTGCACTTCTTTTGTTAAATTTATTCTTGACTATTTTATTTTTTGATGCCAATGTAAATGGAACTTTCTTAGTTTCATTGTAATTGTAAATTTATAGAAATAAATTGATTTCTGTATACTGATCTTGTAACCCAAAAACTTGCTGAACTTACTTTTTAATTCTAATAGTTTTTAGTGGATTCCTTAGGATTTTCTATATATGTGATCGTGTCATCTATGAATAGAGGGATTCTACTTTGTCACTTTTTCTTGCCTATGTGCCATGGCTAGATCCTCCAGTACAATGTTGAATAGAAGTGGTAAGAGTGGATATTCTTGTCTTGTTCTGGTTTTAAGGGAAAAGCATCTAGTATTTTTCCATTAAGTATGTTGTCAGTTGTGAGTTTTTTGTAGATACCCTTCATCTGGTTGAACAAGTTCCCTTCTATTCCTAGTATGTTGAGTGTTTTTCTTTTTAAATCCTGTAAAGGTGTTGGATTTTGTGAAATGTCTTTCCTGTGTTTATTGAGATGACCATGTGATTTAAAAAAAAATTCTATTGCTATTGGGTACTGTTACTTGGTTTTCAGATGTTAAGCCAACCCTCCAATCCTGGGCTAAATCACATTTGTTTATGGTATATAATTTTACATTGCTGGATTTTGTTTGCTACCATTTTTTTGTGGATTTTGCATCTATATTCATAAGAGATATTGGTCTATAATTTTCTTTTCTTGTGATGTCTCTGGTTTTGTAGTAGAGTAATACTGGGAATGTCTTTATTTCTCTTTCCTTTTTGAAAGATAATTTTTCTGGATATAGGATTCTTGGTTGGCAGTATTTTTCTTTAAGCACTTTGAATATATTTTCCCTGGTCTTCTGGCCCCATTGTTTCTGATAAATCAGCTGTGAATCTTATCGAGTTCCTTTGTAAGTGATGATTTGTTTATCTCTTGCTGCTTTGGAGATTTTCTCCTTATCTTTGTTTTTTAGCATTTTTTACTACTTTGCATTTATCCTTCTTGGAGTTTTATAAGCTCCTTAAATCTGTAGATCAAAGTTTCTCATCAAATTTGGGAAGTTTTCAGCCATTATTTCTTCGAATTTTTTCCTGCTCATTTCTTTGTCTCTTCTCTTGTGATAATCCCATTAAGTATGTACTGATGTACTTAATGGTGTTTCCCACTTCTCTGAAGTTCATTTTCTTTTTTTTAATCCTTCCCTCTAATATTTTTTTTATTAAGGTATCATTGATATACACTCTTTTAAAGGTTTCACATGAAAAACATTGTGGTTACTGCAGTCACCCATATTATCAAGTCCCCCCCACTCCCCACGGCAGTCACTGTCCATCAGCATAGTAAGATGCCACAAAGTCACTACTTGTCTTCCCTGTGACCACCCCAACACCATGTATGCCAATCATCATGCCCTTCAATGCCCTTCTCCCTCTTTTCCCACCCACCCTCCCCCATCCCTCCCCTTTGGTAACCACTAGTCCCTTCTTGGAGTCTCTGAGTCTGCTGCTGTTTTGTTCCTTCAGTTTTGCTTTGTTGTTATACTCCACAAAGGAGGGAAATCATTTGGTACTTGTCTTTCTCTTCCTGGCTTATTTCACTGAGCATAATACTCTCTAGCTCCATCCATGTTGTTGCAAATGGTAGGATTTGTTTTCTTC